ACTGGCAGAGAAAGGCGGCATCCATCCTCTGCTTTCCCTGGCTTTCAGATCATTCTACACAGATCCCTTTGTATCTTGATATATGCTCCTTGGCAGATGATGTGTTTACACAATTAAAATAATAAAAAAGAAAAATTAAAATTTCATTCTCAATATAATGCTAAGTATGGGTAACACTGGAACAAAAGATGGTCTTTCTAGAATGCTACAACCACCTGAGCACTTGCTTTCAACTTTCTGTCATCAATTGGCCTACAATGAGCAGGGATCTTTGAATTAGGGACCGACAGGTGACGCATCTGAACTCATAGTCATATCTGTCTATACAGTGCTTTACAGTTTAGAATATGCTTTCATATAAATTATCTGATACATGCAGGCCTGAGCAGCAGACATTATCCACATTTTAAAGACAAAAAACAAAACAAAACAAAACTCAAGTTCAGAGTCACCACATAACTTGGTCCAGGTCACACAGCCAGAAAGAAACCAAATCAGAATTCCAACTGAAGAAGCCACTAAGGAAACAGCATCCACTATTTGGAGAAACACCACCAGTAAGAACTTATTGGTATACAGGGGTTAACCCACCACCTATCTATGAAGCTTTTCACATGGGAGATGGGTAGAGTTCTGCCACACTGTGCAGGGTCTCTGCTGAAGGATCAACAAATAACCAGCGTAGTTTTGCATTTAAGGATTTCATGGTGTTAATCATGAGCTGATTCAATCAGTTTCCACTAAACTGCTAGTGATTTTATCTTCTGCTTGCTGTGCCGACATAAACGGAATCTATTACAGCACATGGGAAATTAGTATTTGTTGAACTGTTTTAAAAATATTTTGCCATTTTAATAGAGAGGAAGGTACAGGGCATCAGGGACTATAAAGGAACAAGGACAGGGTTAGGCAGGCCAGGGCTTGAGTCCCAGCTCTGCCATTTACCAGCTGTGATGCCAAGCACTCACCCTGCTTGGCTTCCTCATGTGAACACAGGCTCTTGTGAGGATTAAATAAGATACTGCATGTGCAATCCCAGGCACGACCTGGCCACAGCAATGATTCCATATGGCTCAGCTTCTACCTCCCTTTCTTTAGTAATATCAAAACAACAAACATTGGAAGAACTAAAATATAATATACAAAATGCTTTCAATAGGGAAGAAATTGATCTAGTTGTACTTATTAATATTATTTACATTGAGAAATATTAAGCTTGCAACTGAATTGATTTTCTAATAATTTAGAAAAAGTGTTTTTAGTGCCCAGATAATACTTTTTTAAAGAAAATTTAGACAAGAGCATTCAAAACATAAAGACTTTACATTAAACACTATTCTAATATTTAAGTTAAAGTTTATGCAAAGATATGAATTTCTTTTACTGTTGAGAAGTCTTTGTTTTGTGAAAATACAAGTACTATTTAATTTTCTCATATGTATTTCTATAAATGAAAGCCTTCTATAAATGGCTGTAATTTTTGGGATTTAGAAACTCTTTCTTCTTTTGCATGAGTTTGGAGAATGTGGCCCTAACTGATTCCATCCCTCTCATTATTTTAAGGGTACTTAGACTTCTAAATATCATTCGAGAAAACTTTGGAAGATTGCAATTAGGTCCTAAATACTAAAAATATTTTCCTCCTTCTGATATATTTTCCATTTACTGTCTCATTTCCACATAACTCAGAATTAAAAGCTGATAGGCCATGTGCTGTATGCACATTAACAGTGTGCAGGACACCTTGTTTGTGCTAAAATGAGATAACAGATGTTGAAGTACTTTGAGAATTTAAAAGCACTATGCATATTAAGGTATAATTATACAAATGTAAATGCAACATCTATTTATTAGGGGTATGGAAATGGTGGAGTGTTTCAGAACTTTTGGGCTAATGAGTCCAGTTTAGAATTACAAGCTAGAGGAACTATGTTTTCAGCATGATAGGAAACCCATATTTCAGATGTATTTATATCATTACATTCAGTTCGTGCTGAACTCAATTTTGTTTCTCATATATTCATTTAAAATAACTTGATGGCAGAATATTGCTTATTTTAGAATAATAGCAAACAATGATCACAATGTTTGCAAATCCCCTGTATCCCAAGAAACATTGTTTCAAATTAAAAACTAGCAATCAAACACTATTCTAGTGTTTTATTTTAAGTATCTGCTAACAAATTTAACAGGTAAAATGGACATTAAATTTATCTCAATTTAATTTTAAGCATTGGTTTTCCAAGTTAAGCAAAGCACCTCCAAACATCTGGTAAGCAGACCTCAAGAAGGCAAAACTCCTATAAATTATTGCAGCCACCAAGAACTTAAGGTTTCTGGCCTAGGGCTAGAATTCCAAATCACTCTAGCAGTGGCTCAGCTAACTTGAAGTAGAGGGGTTTCTAAGAACATAAATCTGTCCTGGTGATTTTCTCTAAACTGAAGTCTCCTTTCTTTTGGTAGGCAGGAAAGAAAGCCTGAAGCTCAACTTTGCATTTAAGTGGGAAACGAACTGGTTAGGTAAGCATTAACCAAGCTACAATAAGTTTCTTGGATGAACCCCTTGGGAAAGAACTGGAGGAATGGAGCTCCAGATTGGAAGGAGGGAGCTCCAGGTTGCAAGTTACTTGCTTGCAAGAATTTTCATTGCTAATTCAAGTCTTTAGGAAGATCCAACTTGATTGCCTAAACATGTAACTTGAGGGGAAAAAATATGGTCTAGGGAGATATGACAAGTTTTCTAAAAAGTAAATGAATTACAAAAAGTATTACAGCAAATGACCAAAAATAAGGTAGAATAAGAAAAAAAACAAACATCAACTGAATGGTTGAGTGGTGGGAAAGTCACATCAACTGAATTATTCAACAACAAAATGACAGAGTATTTCATATTTTGACAGGTTAAAGCACCAGTTTTAAGAGGCATGCATTCATTGCTCTATAGATTTTGGCCTTGCCAAGCTAGGGATCATGCTCAAAACTGCAATTAATACCACCTAAAGAGCTGAAGTTCCAGAATCTCTTTTGCTTATTGATCAGATTCCTGTGGTGTCATCCCTATTTTCCCTGCAGCAGAAGTGCTGTATTGAACAGCAGGCTTTTAGAAAGCTGCTAATAAGCTCCTGGTTGCTGATGGAGCCTGTGTCTCTAGCAGTCACTCGATCATTGTTAGCAGCCCATGTGAGGGGAATGCATGCATCTACAGGTCTCTAATTCACCACATCCCTTCAGCCTGCTTATCTCACTCTGCTTTCTGCTTTTGGGCTTTTCTCACCTGGCCAGATAAAAGTCCATTCCATTTTCTCAAGGCAAGACAATTCTTGTAAGGGATGCATTTCTGATTGGAGTGACCCGTTAAAAGATGTTTGCTATTTGGTACTCCTGCCCCTGCTTGTGAACCTCAGGCAGAATGTAAGGGTGCAGTCTCTCCAGGTTACCTCTGAGTGTTTATACATAGGTGGAAAGGTAACTCCTCTTTAAAAAAAGAACTGCACTATACAGAGAAATTTCATAAATTATACAAGCAGCTGAGAGAAGTAATTCTGTTATACTGAGGTTGACACAAGTCAATAATAGCTAATGCTCATTAAAGAACGATCCTCCCTTACCCAGGGAAGAAACAGGCTCAGAAAAGACCCAGTTCATATTAATACATAAAGAGCACATGGCTCAAGGTTAAAACAAACTACATATCTGAAATGCTGTCATTAGAGAAATTTAACCACCTATGTGATTTGAAAATATAACAAGTAACAGGAAATAAATAAAAAGTCTGGGGGGGAAAAAAGCTTTCAGATGCCCTCTTTAAAAGAACATCAGTGAAAACAGTAATAAAAATTAAAAGACAATACCTAGCAACAGAGAAAGAGAAAATTATTCTTTTCTTGTTTCTCCTATATTTTCCATCCCCTTTCAATAAAAGATTCTCCATAATCCCAACATTGCCATTTCCTGCACAAAGAACCCAGAGAACAATTCAAAATTAAAGGAGCTGAAAGAAGACACAGTATCCCAGGGCTACTCTCCCCAAGGCATTTGCAGGCAGAATAGCCGTGGTTTCCAGAACATTCTCTTCACATTTATCTTTCATGAGCTGCAGCATAGAATGTTTACCAGAGGCTTTAAAAATAAAATCTCACTAAACAGTTGAGAAAGATATTTAACAACCAAGGCAAAGCAATTACAGTTAAATTTTCACCTCAAGATTCCCATCTTAGGTGTGGGAGGCAAAGAGAAGACTCCTGCACATCAGTCTGAACCTAGAATGAGGATGAAAAGAGTTGATTCTGCCAATAGTTGGCAACAAATCCATAGTTTTGCCTCTCAGGGCGAAACGTGGAGCCAGCTGCCCACCTGAATGTGCATTAAGAACAGCGCCACTTTTTGGTTAAGGCTGACTCAAGTTTCTAAGCAGCAATCCAAGGATAGGCTAGACATCAACATCCATACCAAAAACGTGGAAAGGTCTGAATGTGACAGATCTCTCTTTTCAATTATTTGTGTCAGAAAGCATCATCATTTTCAACTATTCAAGGTGACAATGAGATACTGCAACTAGTCCCAGTAGAGCATTTCTGTATGAATGTATAGACTTGGGAGGAAATTAACATCACACGGGGTTAATCCTTACCCTGAAACTTCTGCCTCGTTATCCAACCAATTTGCATTTTGTAATCTAGACTTTTATTATTCATTTTCATTATGATTTGACTTTGACACAATATTATTCCCTTTAGGGCAAAGACTTTCTGGGTGCAATGAGATCAGATATAATTTCTTCAGCAGGAATGCATAAAGAGGACTGTGTACACATTCCATTCCCAGAAATTTCTGTCTCAATCTAGTTCAGATGAGCAAGGAATGAAAGGCGGGGCATAAAATGGTATAAATTCTAGTTAGGCACAGGCAGTAAGCATCCATTTTGTGAGCTACTGTTCAATATTAAAAGGCATTACCTGATATGGATGAAAAAGACATCACAAAGGCTTATAACACCTTACCTGAGCCATCTGCCTCTCCAGTTTTGATCGGGGAATATCATCAAAGTAGTTTTCATTTCTTCTCCTCCTTGCATCGCCCTGCATGATAATGTGAGGAACGTCTAGGGAGCCACCAGTGGTGTAAGTGCTTTGGCTAAGTGATGGAGACAACTGAGGAGGAGTGTGATTACCACTGGGTTCCTGAATGGAAATACATCATGAAATAAATACCATGTTCCGTGGCTAACCTTTGGTTTCAAAATTGCGAAATACTGACAAGACAAATTGTGGGGGTGGGGAGTCGCTTTAGAGTCAACAGCCAAGGAATGAATGGCATTCCACCATTTTATTAACAACATGACTAGTCAATACGTTTTCCCCTAAGTATTTCAGGTAAAGTGTCTGAAATATCAAGAGTCAGGTTCTGTTTTCCTAAAGCAGCACAGTGGATGGTCTCAGGAGGGAGGCACACCTATATTGGGCACCTCTGACACTACTGCATGTGTTTACAGGGAAGTAACCGGCCCTCATGTGGGCAGAGCATCCTCACCATGGCAGATGCCATGATGAGAAAGCTAAAATGGGACCCAATGGGTTTTGATCCAAAGAATGGTCTGACAACAGGGTTAGGAAGAGGACACAGTATGGCAACACAGCATGTCACACGCACAGACTGCAGAGCAGTGCATGCTACGACAGAGGATGCTTTTCCATGGCAAAGACAACTCCATCTGAGGGAAGCGGGTCAGGAGGAAGATAGGGGGCATAGACAGCTCAGCTCTACTGTTTGCGAGTAAGATGAGGATTGGGATCATGGTGTTTCTCCACACCACTTCTCCTCCAGATATTCTGGACAGATTTAGGTCCTACACTTTTTCTTGGGAATCTCTGTCTTTGATCTTTTTTTGTTCCCCTAAATCTCTTTGAGAGAGCCAGAATGAGAGGTTCAAAGGGGAAGGAAAAAGAGCAGGGTAAGTATCAGGAAATCACTCCTCTAAAGAGTCATTTTAGGATGACTACATGGATGGTGCTTATGTTTTTCCCTTCTTCCATGTAGCAAAATGAAGGCAAAACAAGAATAGTATTTTTATTTCCAATTTATTTGAGGCTTGTCTAAGGGGTGACATTTCTATTTGTACTTTTATGACTCCCAAAACTCTCAAGTAGCGTCCAAATATCCCAGTATACCCAAATGCTCCCAGTAATCAATTAAACCAACATTAATGTAGCCACTACCCATCCCACTCCAGTCTCTCTCAGGAGGGTAGGCTGTGTCCTCCTGGAGCCAATTCTCTTGCATTCCCTGAAATCCTTGTGCATTTACCTCTCCTCCAGAGCTGAATCAGACTCAAAATCATAACAGCTTCTCTCCTGCCCCACCCTCTGCTATCCTGACAGTGGCTACGCTGTTTGCTGAAGTTTACTGATAGGAGGCAGGCCACTGCATTCATCATGATGGTTATGTCCGGGCACTGTGCTTGTGTTCATCCCTTCACAGGGGAAATCAGAAGCAATAAAGTGCAGGACAAAATAAAGAGAGCAGGGTGGGCACCCTGCAGCTTTGAGAGAGATCTGAGCTTTTAGATGCATTTTAGAAAAGTTCTTACAGGACTCATGAACCCCGGTGACTGCTGGCCACTGCTTGCGGCTGCCATTTTGCCTAGAAATCATCTCTCATTTCTCTCTGCCCTTTCCTCCCTCCCTTCCTTCACTTCCACTTTATTTCTCTCTCCCTTCTACAGGTTCTCTCTAGTTTCCTACCTCATAATTCTAAAGTGTAGTTGAAGTAAACAAATAACATTTATTAAGTAAGGTTTTAGATTCTCTATTCTGAAGTTTTGAAGTGGGTAAAGCTGGACAAGTTTTGCTTCTTGAAAAACAGAAGACCCTAAGGTTAATTTTAAATTGATCTTTACTTAACTGTGGTCCTTGATCGATTTTCTTTCTGTGGGTTTGAGGAGTCTGACAGAAAACTCATTTCCACTCTCCTGGCGTGGATGGGGTATTGTATGGGAGGTGAGGGAATGGTTCTTTAAAGGTGGTGAATTCCATTATAGATGGATATCTAAATCTCAAAAATATATACTTTACCAATCTAGAGAAACAAATCTTGTTGTTTTGATTGCGTCAAACATAATCAAAAGGGAGATTGTTTTTTACACAGATAAGGTAAGCTACACAGAAAATAGCCTGCACTTCCTGATCCATTGCTTCAGTTGTATAAAGTGTATGTTTATAAAAACCTATAAAACTGCACAAAATAATTGTTTTTCTTACTCTGCTGCTCAGGTTGGAGTGCAGTGGCGCGATCTCTGCTCACTGCAACCCTCTGCCTCCCAAGGTTAAGCGATGTTCATGCCTCAGCCTCTGGAGTAGCTGAGACTACAGACAGGCATAACCACACCTGGCTAATTTTTTCTGTTTTTAGTGGAGACAGGATTTCACCATGTTGGCTAGGCTGGTCTCAAACAAATAATGCTTAAGATAAGGGCAGAGAACCAAATGAATGTGCTTGGCACTTACCCTGAGGGTGATGGACCGAGGGGGCTTCTGTGGGGGATCGTCGTGCAGCCTGTCTCCCAGAGATGCCAAAATGCGTTTCCTGTGGCCAATCAAATTGATTTTTAAAACCTGAAACAACATATATTTGGGTTAAATATTTCATTGGAGAAGAAATAATTTTTATACGTCCTAAAACATGTGGAGTAAAAAGAGATTTGTGCAAAGTTACCCCTGCACCATGAGATGTGGTATGACATCAGTGTGACTGCTGAAGTCCACAAAGATGGCAGTAGCATCTGGAAAGCCTGGAGTGGTTAAGTAATGGGGGCAGAAAGAGAAAGCAGGACGGTTCTCCTTCCACTCATGCTGCCTGACAGTCCCACTCCCAATACAACAGCCCTAAGACCTTGCCAAAATAGATTCCCGCTCTCCTCATAAGCAGCCGAAACCTCACAGGATAAAATCTCAGTCTGGACTTGGCTTTGGGGCAATGGGGATAGGCTTCCCTCTCTTTCCCTCCATCCAGGACACGCAGTCATGCCAGCCTCCTCTGGGTCTTGGAAGCTTGACATTCATTCTTGTCTTGGGGCCTCTACCCCTGATCAGCTACCAGCCTGGAATTTTCCCCCTCCTTCAAATAACCAGTAACTTCTCGTGGTTCTGGACACTGTTCTAGTGCTGTCTCCTCAGAAAGGTCTTCCCTCACCTCCTTATTGAAGGTTCCATGCCTTCAATCTCCGGCATGCTTTCCATGATGCTTCTCATTTTATCATGCTCTGAAAGCACTTTCTTTACAGGCTTAGTGTTTGTGTTTTGTTCTATTATCTCCAGGTAAGCCCCCTGCGAGCAGGGCACTAGCACATGTTGATCACTATTATTTCTCAAAAGGATGACTAAAAAAATAAGGGATTAATGAACATGAAATAATGAACGGTAACAGAGATGACAGTTGCAAAATTAGAGTTACCTTGTGTAAGGATACGGTTAGATATAAGCATTGCCTGTTGGGGTAGACTCAGAGCCTCCCCAGGATGGTATTTTGAATCTGACCATACTGCAAACAGCATGTGGCAGAAGAGCTCTCAAAGGGAAATGACAATTGCAGAGCCTCAATCCTCAGCCCCATTCCTGGTGATTTACCTAGGCCACACCGTTTTCAATCTTACCAACTTCTCTGTCTGGAAGGAGTTCTCACTTGACAGATGAAGAAACTGTGGTTTGGAGTGGTTAAGTCACTTATCCAAGAGCCAACATGTGGTGGCTCTGGGATTTGAATCAGATTGGCCCGATTCCAAAGCATCTTTTACTCCAAACTATACAGCACAAAATCTGGTGATATCTCCAAATATTACTGACTTCTTATAACAACCTATTGTATATTTATCCATTTATAAAATGTGTTTACCTCTTCCCTACCTATGTGTAGTCCCAAGATATAATAATCTTGTTGAGTAACTAGTTTCCAAAGTCATTACCCCATGTGTAAATTTTTTTCTTCTCAAGTTTTAAGATAGAAGGTGGAGTGAGCATTTCTTTGGCATGCATTCCAAATGCATGCCATGCTACCTTGAATTTTTTTGTTTTTATATTTATTTATTTATTTATTTTTGAGACGGAGTTTCACTCGTTACCCAGGCTGGAGTGCAACTGCGCGATCTCGGCTCACCGCAATCTCCACCTCCCGGGTTCAGGCAATTCTCCTGCCTCAGCCTCCCAAGTAGCTGGGATTACAGGTGTGCGCCACCATGCCCAACGAATTTTTTGTATTTTTAGTAGAGACGGGGTTTTACCATGTTGACCAGGATGGTCTTGATCTCCTAACCTCGTGATCCACTCGCTTCAGCCTCCCAAAGCGCTGGGATTATAGATGTGAGCCACTGCATCCAGTGCATTTTTCTTAAAAAATTATTTCAACTTTTAGATGAAGGTGATGTATATGCAGGTTTGTTGCACAGGTACACTGTGTGATGCTAAGGTCTAGGGTATGAATGATCCCCTCACCAGGTAGTATGCATAATACCCAATGGGTAGTTTTTCAGCTCTTGTCTCCTTCCTCCCTCCCCTCTTTAGTAGTCCCCAGTGTTTACTGTTGCCATCTTTACGCCATTGAGTACTCAACGTTTAGCTCGCACTTACAAGTGAGAACGTGCAATATTTGGTTTTCTGTTTCTGCATTAATTAACTTAAGGACCTTCAGCTGTATCCATATTGCTGCAAAGGACATAATTTCATTCTTTTTTATGTCTGTGTATATTTCATCTACCTTGACTTTTTATTTACCTATTTGTCAGTTTGCTTATTGGCCTTTTGGCCTAAACGGATACAGATTTTACACTCTTACTATGCCCTATTCCTTTTGCAGGCACCCTCTGACCCATGCCTGTTGATGATGGGGAGGGTATATGTTAGCCAAGGTGAATGTCCCCATGTACCATATCCCTATGATTTTATAAACCTTCATCTCCCCAGGCTGATGAATCCTAATCTTTGCAAGTTTGTTTTCATAAAGCAGACCTTCTTTTCCATACATCCTTTCAGCTGACATTCTCTGGACTTTCTCCTACCCTACTACAGCTGCTTAAGGTGTGTTAAAAAATAGCTCACAATATTCCAGGTACAAGTGAACCATGGCTTTACATTTATGCAGTATACTGTTTTCTGCTTTCAATAGCCTTTTGAAATGTCCTTCCTAAGCACACCTGATTTCTGGCTAGAAAGCTGCAGTAGGAATAACTAGGGAAGTATACACTGACTATAAAATCCCTTAATTTTGTTATAGCTAATAGTTCAAAGCCCTTTAATCTAGGAGGGATGATTTGAATTATTTTTCCCTAAATTCCTTATCTTACAGTTGTCCAGGCAGAAGCCCAGCTGATATCCTTCTGCCCACTCACATAGCCCTGTGTTTGCTTTCCGCATTTTTATTAACCAGTTTGGCATTTCACTACCTGGAAGAGCTTAGTGGTTTTTGCAAATAGGGAAATTTCACTATGTATTTCTTTCAGGCGATTTATAAATATGCTAAGTAAGTGTGGCCCTACTGCTGATGACTTGCAGGCAGGATTGTTTATACAATCCATAGAAATGCCCTTATATTCTTGTATTGTTTCTTTTTTTAAGCATCGAGATCAAAGAATTCCTCCATCTCAGAAAAAATATAATAACCTTTTCAAAGAAATTTTGCAAGTCTAAACACAGTACATTTTCTAATTCTCTTTTATTCTAATTCTCAATTACTTTGCCAAAGGCTTCTATTGGATATCAATTCCACCCATAAAATCTTCACCCTTCTCCCCAGCAGGTAGCTGGACCTCATGCCATTGGTACTACCTTGCCCCCTCCCCGAGTACTGCTAGAAATGCTTTTATAATAAACACATTCATTTTATTATTATTATTTACAAAACTAACACTAAAAAACAAATAACTGTGGTCCAATTGGGCTGATAGAATCTCCACTATTGCTTTTGGTTTACTCTCCTACAACTCAATTTTGGGCAGGTTACCTGACTCCTCTGATCTCAGGTTTTCTCACATATAAAGTAAACAAGTTAATGACAATTTAGAATGTTGGAAAGATGAAGAGTGAAATTACGAGGATAACCAGCACAGTACCTGACACATAGAAGAAGCAACTTTCACAGTATGCTTATTCTAGCAAATGCGCTCTGAGGGTGTATAGAAATCCTGGCCTGGAAGAACAAGGACTTGGTCATTGTCATAAAGTCAGTCATGTTAAACAAATACACTGGTGCTTTGGATGAAGAGATGTGGCTAACTTTGGGAAAACCCTCACTGAACTAACTTTTCCTAGTAGGATGTGGCTGATTTCTAGCTATGATGCTAGACCCAATTTAAAAGAATATGCTATTCTCCCATCCATATGTTTAATCTTCAATGAGAGGTAAGCTTCACTCCTCTGCACTGAAGCTTCATTGCTGTCTCCTCCACAGAGCTACCCAAATGGGTGGGTGGATGGGTGTGGATGGGTGGATGGGTGTGGATGGGAGGGTGGGTGGGTGGATGGATGGACGGATGGATGATGGCTGGATAGATCGGAAAAAATTAACACAGTGTGGTTAGTACTATCAAGATCACCTAGATAACTCTCCTGTTTATTAGAAATAAGCCCCCATCACTGAAGATACTGACGGTAACTTCCATTTATTGAACATTTTCTATACCATCGTTTTATGTTCTAGTTGTGCTAGAAACCATACCAAGAGTGTTATACATGCATATTAATATCACCAGTAATCCTCACAATAGCATATATTAAAATCATTCCCATTTTAGAGATGCAAGATCTGATACTATAAAATGCCAACTAACTTGCCTAAGGTCATACTGCTAAGAGGCACATGGCTAGGATGTGCACCTGATTCTTAACCCTCCCTTCACCATCTGCCTTGCTCTTCTCCTCTTGCTGTTAACCTCTATACTTTTTGACCTTAGCTACACTATTGATTATGTCCTCATGAGGCTTCTTAATATGTTGCTTCTTACTTTGAGTTATGTTTAAAGCATTTATATAGGGTTTTGAGCATCTAAAAACATTAAAAGAATCCAGTTTTTCTCATGCTTGTAATCCCAGCACTTTGGAGGCTGAGGCGGGTGGATCACGAGGTCAAGAGATCGAGACCATCCTGGTCAACAAGGTGAAACCCCGTCTCTACTAAAAATACAAAAATTTAGCTGGGCATGGTGGTGTGTGCCTGTAGTCCCAGCTACTGAGGAGGCTGAGGCAGGAGAATTGCCTGAGCCCAGGAGGCGGAGGTTGCGGTGAGCCGAGATCGCGCCATTGCACTCCAGCCTGGGTAACAAGAGCGAAACTCCATCTCAAAAAAAAAAAAAAAAAAGAACTCAGCTTTTAATCAGGCTTATAATGCTGTTAAAGCCACAGGCGACAAGGGCAGATACCTCACAGTATTCTCTGTGAAATACATATAATATATAGACCAAGGACAGGAAACCCTCATCACCCAAGATTCAGTCCAAGTTGGCTCACTGTGGAGTGGTAGACAGAGTGATAGTTGGCTTCAAAATGCCCAAGTTAACAATAAGAAATCCAACTGGCAAAACAATAACAGAGAAACTATTCCAAAGAAAGGCAGTCATTATGGGAAAGTC